TATGACAATATAATACATTTTAAACAATACAATACAAGTTACTAACATAGCTATGTAAAAGCTTGACGATTCAAAAATCTTTAATAATATATTTTTTCTCTTTTTTTTAGTGTGCGTATTAATTCTAAGTTGATATTAATATTGCTGAAAATACTTCACTTCAAGAAAAAATATATATTGTTGAAATACTAGGTTCCAAAATTTTGAAATTACCAATAAAAGAATCTAGTCTGCAGGACTTTGAAAAAATGAGCTCATAAATCTTGTCTCCATATTTTTTTCTTGCATGGTTGTACAAAACCGTGATTTACTCACTTTTTTTTTCGAAAATTATCATTTTCCTAAAAAAAAGTAAATATTACAAAATAAAAAATAATAAGAAGGAACAAATAGTTGAATCAGTTTCGACTGCCAAATATATTCTTGTAGCAGATTCAGCATCCATGTGAAGATTGTCTTCCCACTGTACAAGCGAGAAGAGATTCAGCTTTTCTTTTTTCTTTTTTTTGTGACTTTTTGTTTTATGCTAATTGGTCTCTCTTTTCCCTCCTATGGCTATGTTTCCTTCCATGTGTTTTCTTATCATCCTTAAATAGTAGGAATATTTGCCATACTTCTTCAATTGAGACATATATATAGAACACTGTAGGAAAAATACACACACATATAAATATATATATATATATATGTACATGCATGTATGATTTAACAGTGCATGTTTTCAAATGTTAGAGTGGGTCAAAATAACACTAAAATAAAAAGGTATATAAAAATTAATAAAATTAGTATTATTTTTGGGAGATTTCTATGATAGATCTTGAAAAAATGTGTTGGTTTCCAAAACAATTTTAGATGCAGAAGTGTATGAAGCGGATCTTATATAACAAAAATTTTCATAAAACTTTAAGATACTCTATATATTACATTAATTTATGCATGAATAAATTAATCAAATTTATTTATTTACCTAGTGAACGATTAGGTTGATAACTTGAGTTCTTTGACCACGAACGTTCTTTGCTCCAAGCTAGTTTAGAACACCAAAATCTTCCTCGTCAATTCCTTAAATCTACAAAGACCTGTGTGTGGGCACACCTGAAACAAAATAGGATTGACAAATAAAAACTCAAGTTTTCTACGAACGCCAACACATGCATGACATGCAATTTTAGAGAAAATTTGTCCTTTCCACACAGTCTATAATTCGGCTAGTATAGCTAGGAGATGGCAAAAATTGTGTTCTCTAATTTTCTGTAATATCCTATTATAGAGTAGTAGTCAGACTCTCAAAAGAAGTATAATCTTTATCTCTAAGATAAGGCTTGATAATTATCTCCTACTTTTAATTGATTTTAGAAACAAAGACAGATTCCACTTCTAATTATCTCCAAGACTCCTTCTCTCTCTTGTTCATAACGGCCGGCTACCATAAGGAGATTCCTCCCTGTGGTAGGTACATACTACAGGTAAAAAATATGGCAAAATTCTGCATTTATCCTACAGTCCAATTTTGACTCAAATTCAAATTCTAATTTAAGTCAAACTTAAATCAATTTGAATTTCAAATTGGACAACTTATCAAATAAGTCAATTGGATAACTTGGAGAGGAAGCAATTGAATCCCAGAAGGATTCACACTGTATAGGCATGTACACCATGTAGACACCTCCACATGTGTGTTTTAAAATTCAAATTTAAATTTAAATAATCACATTATTTAATTTATAATTAATTCTCAATTAATTATTTTGAGTATTTTATTTTAGAATTTTATAATTCTAAAATTCTCATTTTGCACTTAGTGTCTTGTAGGATTACAAGGACGACGCGGGGAGACATGGACCTATAATTTCTAGCTCTAATAAAATTAATAATTAATTAAACACTTTAATTAATTAATTAATTCTCTATTAATTCTATAAGTTACTCCACTATAAACTTGGAATTACATTCTCCTAATTACAGACATAAATTACTTCTAAACTGTGAAGTGTCCATTTGATATAGTCATTACATATAAATCAATCATCCATAAATAATTCATAGTTAGATCTAGGTGAAATTCGTTAACCTCTCTAATTACATATTTATCCTTGAGTACCATTGATTCTCTAATGGACAGTGATTCATAAAATAAATTCATGAATCAGAGCTCCTACTAGTCCAAGTACCGAATCAACCCTCAAGATAATTATTTATCTACTTCTTTCTCAAGAAAGAATAAATTCCATCTCGTATAATAATATTCTTGGCTACTCACTTCATCATGTCTCCAAAATACAAGGAATAGTATTCAACATCTCAGAATCCATATCAAGTAAATCAAAAGACACAAATCCATAAATAGGATTCTGTTAAAAACTCAGGATTAAGATCATTATATATATGACCATCAGTAGACTCAATTAGAATTTCTATACTTTAACGGAAATTATCAAAAATTCATATTGTGTCTGTGTCCCTGTTCCACATAATCTCATTATGCGTAATACACTCATTCAATATCTCAATATATTAACAGTGCGGATAACATTGTTCCATTCTAAATGAGAATGACATGTATTAGTAATGTTTTAATTAAATATTCTGAACTTTAATTAAATTCATCACTAACATTGTTTTGACTATTATTCTTAAATATTATCTTCTCACATGTAACACTTATATATAATATTTAAGGTCACATAAATAATCATAAAATTTTCAGTGATATTAATAAAATATTCAATAATATATGCACATAAAATAATGAACAAACTCTTTTATTAAATAAATAATAAATATTTTATTACATTTCATACTTTTAAAACACTATTCTCATCAAAATGAAGTATAAATATATAGTTCTTTGTTTGTAATTATTAGATTAATATAAGAAACTATCTCTTGTGCTTACTTTTTTTATTTTGGTATGATTTTAATTGAATTCAATTGTCACAGACACGCACTATTAATAGGACGCCCCATCGTAAGTGAATCATTATTTTTGTTGAAGAGACATTTTTTTGATGAAATGCACCGAAGCACATATAGTCTTTTCGCTAGGTATAATGAACAAAGTAAAGTAGGGTTAAAAGCAAAAAATCAAAGATAAGGAGTCATCATGTGGCAACTTTTGTAGGATTAGCTGATGGTGATTGAAGTCTAGGATTTTTACTCCCAATTCAGTGAGACAGCTTATTAATAAAAACTTCCTAAATTTTTAATATGCGGGTAACTTTCTTTTTCCCCTCTAGGGAGAAAATAATTGTACACTCAATGAGTGAGGCTTAAGCCAGTGCTATTTGGGCACATGTCAACTTGTGGGAAGTCAGACTCTGACCAATGGCTTATCTGTACTAAAGACTCCATTGACAATATCTTGAAGAAATCACAACTAAAGTAATTGAAAAAATAAAAATAAAAATAAAAATTAGTGGATTTGATGTGGTCCAAATCCTAAAACAAAAGTGAGTTGAACATCTTTAGGTTCCACACTAATCATATTGTCCCATCGCCCATTCCAACAACAATGTCATCTCTAAATAAACAAAAGACAAAGTAACTACAATTAAAAAATAAATGAAAAAAAAAAAAATCCTACCTTCTAAGTGCATGAGTGGCCCTCTTGGCCTCTTCGCTTCTCACTGCCACTAATCATGTTCAGAAAAGATGAGGCAAAAAGGAGACTAAAAGTAGGGGGGTGGCTCAAGTGAAAGTGATGACATAATTGGTAGAGACACAAGAATTACACATTTTCTTTTGTTCTTTCATGAGGAGAAGTTGATTATCTGAAAACTTCTTTCTTAGTTCAGCAGCTGGTTTTGGCACAGGGAAGTTTGTGAGTCTAAAGTGAGATTCTACTTTTGTTAAATTTGCAAATGAGAGTGATGATCGTCATAGAGCAGAAAGATCATACATATAAATATTGTTTCTTTGAAGATTGGAGATTTGCCATATCTAGAAAGCTGACCCCCAGTGAAGAGAAAGGGATGGAATGGATAGATAGAAAATTTTCATTCTCATTCTCAACCTGATGAGCAATAAACACAGTTCCATATGAGCTTGCATTAAGAGTCACTAAAAGGGCAGAAGGATTAAGAAAATGAAATTTTTGATAACAAAATGACTTTAAAAGCCAAGTAGCCAACCTAGCTCTTTCCCATGTATGACCTACCAATCAAGAAGTTTGTGCTTCCCCGTCAATTTTCAACTTCACAATCTTTTCTTTCAAAATTATCAATCTCTAATACCTTGATATATGCAAAATGGTCCCAATAGTGTTGAAAATTTGGATTACCTGAGCCTGGTAGTTCAAATGAAATTCTCAAACAAATTCAGCCAAACTCTAAAAGATAGAAAGTCGGTCCAATTTGACTCTAAAACCTGATAGGTAAGTCAAATTATAAATATTTAAACATGTACTTTCAAAAACATTTTTAGACTCAAATAATCTAGCTCGAGAGATTTAGACCGAACTCGTATCAACAGTAATAGAATTCAGACCGGTGTGTTAACCCGGTCTAAATTTACGGTTCTAAGACCCAAAACAATGCACTAAGTCCCAAAACAATGCATATACTAAGTACAACGTAATTGAATAGTTGCAAGGAATTAATAGGACGGGATGAACTGGTGAAAGACAGAAAGAGGTAGCCAATCACCATCAGCATTAAGTAAACCATTACTTTTAAAAATAACACCAAAAAAGTCTTTCCCTCCTCATTTGACTTGCAAACACACTCAATAGAAAAAAGGGCAAGGACAACCCTTTTATGTTTGACAGGTAGTCAATGTGAATATCATAGAGGCCTGTTGTTTTGAGAACCCTAATAATAATAAAACATAAAAAGAAACAACAATTTTAATCCCTTAAAATTGTATATTAATATACTCTCACACATACACACAAGATTTTGCATATAAGTCCAAATAGACAACCTTCCTTTGCCCCTTTCTTTTATAAGGCAATACTTACCCGGTAATATGAAATATCAGACCCTCCTTCAGAACTAGACACAAAAGAACCTTGGGAACTAAAACACAAACTCTATTTCTCTCTCTAAAATAACAACTCTTCCTTTCTGCTGAGGAAAACACCTTCACTCCACTCTGCTACCAAAAAGAACAATAACCCATTTCTCTCTCTCTTTCTCTCTGTCTCTCTTTTCCTTTCTTCTCAATCCTTTCATGGACGAGACAGAAGAGTCCAACAATGGCAACAAGAAATGCAAAGGAAAGACAAGAACTTTAAGGGGCAAAATAACCAGCCCTCCCCAAAAGCAGTATCAGTATCATCAGTATCAGCATCATCAACTGTTTCACTACTCAAACCAGCTTGGAAATATCTATAACCACAACCAAAACCAGTTCCAATACCACAGATATTACCCGGCTCTTCTTCCTCTACCAGTGCCTCCGATTCCTCTTCAACTGGCTTTGGCTCCTTCTCTTAATCCCCCTCTGAACCACCACAGTTTCAGGTCCAAAACCCGCCACCAAAAACCTTCATGCAAGCAGAATACCCCTCATTTCGCCGCTTCTTCAGAAACCCACGTCCCCATTTTGCCAATTTCACCAGGTGATTATCATAAAAGCTCTCTTCTTTTTCATTACAACCATCGCTTTTGTTATTCCCCTTTGAACATAGTAAAAATGAGCTTTTTCAAGAATATATTGACCTTATGTTGAGAAAAATTGTGTCTTTCTCTTAGTTGCTATATTTGTGTTATTCTTAGACGCTTAAGTGAATTCATAGTCTTCTTTATGCAATGAGGAGAACCTGCTTGTTGAAAAAAACCCACATTCATGTTTTGTTTTAGGCTTAAAGGTTTTTTATTTTTTATTTTTAAGTAATGACGCAGAACTAGTCTAACTTGTATGGTTATTTCCTATATTTATATCTCCAGAGGGGTTCCAAAAGCAAAATGTTTTACCCCTTAAACGAGAAGATGGAAGGAAGTTGACAGGTCCTAGAACAGAAAAGGCACTAGTGGCAGCTAGGAGACCAGATTCTGGTGGTGTAGAAGGGCCAGTTATATCTCTCTTAGCCAACCATTTTCTTGTCCAATTTGATTCCTCTCAGAGGATTTTACACTATAATGTTGAGATATCTCCTAACCCCTCCAAGGAAGTTGCAAGAATGATCAAGCAGAAATTGGTGGAGGACAACTCTGCGGTCCTCTCCGGCGCTATACCGGCCTACGATGGCCGCAAAAATCTTTACAGCCCGGTTGAATTCCAAAATGACAAGCTTGAGCTCTACATAAGCCTTCCAATACCAACAAGCAAACCAACCATGCTACCATATGGTGAAATCAATGGCTTTCAAGAGAAGCATAAACAGGTTAAACTGTTTCGGGTAAACATCAAACTTGTGGCCAAGCTTGATGGGAAGGAGTTGAGTAGTTACTTGAACAAGGAGGGAGACGATTGGATTCCTCTCCCTCAAGATTATCTCCATGCCTTGGATGTTGTATTGAGAGAGAACCCTATTGAGAAGTGCATACCTGTGGGGAGATCGCTCTATTCGAGTTCGATGGGAGGAACTCAAGAGATTGGAGGAGGAGCTGTTGGGTTAAGAGGGTTCTTTCAGAGCCTTAGACCAACCCAACAAGGACTGGCTCTTAATGTGGATTTCTCTGTGACGGCTTTTCATGAGAGCATTGGAGTGATTCCATACTTGCAGAAGCGTCTCGAGTTTCTTCGAGACCTTCCTCAGAGGAAGACAAGGGGTTTGGTTGGTGAGGAGAGAAAGGAAGTGGAGAAGGCATTGAGGAATATTAGGGTCTTTGTTTGCCACAGGGAAACTGTTCAGAGATACCGGGTTTATGGCTTGACTGAGGAAGCCACTGCAAATCTGTGGTTTGCTGATAGAGATGGGAAGAATCTGAGGGTTGTGAGTTACTTCAAGGATCACTATAATTATGACATACAATACAGGAATTTGCCGTGCTTACAGATTAGTAGGAGCAAACCATGTTATCTTCCAATGGAGCTTTGTATGATTTGTGAAGGCCAGAAGTTTCTTGGAAAGCTATCAGATGATCAGACTGCAAGAATACTTAAGATGGGCTGCCAACGACCGAAAGAAAGAAAAGCTATTATAGATGGCGTTATGCAAGGACCTGTTGGGCCAACAAGGTAATCTCCAATGTGCAAAATGTTTTCCTAGTAAACTATATCTATATCATGTTGAATTCTCAATAAGTTTGGTTAATACTGTCTTCCGTGCTAACTTGTCAACTTTTTCCAATTTATGGCAGCGGCATCCAGGAAAGAGAATTCAAACTCCACGTCTCTAGAGAAATGACAAGATTAAACGGAAGAATTCTTCAGCCTCCAAAGCTAAAACTTGGTGATGGAGGGCACATAAGAGACCTGATTCCTTCCCGTCATGATCGGCAGTGGAACCTTCTGGACAGCCATGTGTTCGAGGGAACTCGAATCGAAAGATGGGCGCTGATAAGTTTTGGCGGAACCCCAGAACAGAAATCAACCATTCCAAAGTTCATAAACCAGTTATCTCAAAGGTGTGAACAGTTGGGGATTTTTCTTAACAAGAACACAATCATCAGCCCCCAGTTTGAACCAACACAAGTGCTCAACAATGTCTCCCTTTTGGAATCCAACCTAAAGAGGATCCAGAGAGTTGCAGCCAACAATCTCCAGCTTCTTATATGCATAATGGAGAGAAGACACAAAGGTTATGCCGATCTCAAGCGAATAGCAGAAACCAATGTTGGAGTTATGAGCCAGTGCTGCTTGTACCAGAACCTTGCTAAATTGAGTTCACAGTTTTTGGCAAATTTGGCTCTCAAAATCAATGCCAAAGTTGGCGGATGCACGGTGGCTTTGTACAATTCATTGCCCTCTCAAATCCCACGTCTGCTCCAATCCGAGGAGCCAGTAATCTTCATGGGAGCTGATGTTACTCATCCTCATCCGCTCGATGATGTCAGCCCATCTGTTGCTGCTGTCGTTGGTAGCATGAATTGGCCAGCGGCAAACAAGTACGTCTCAAGAATGAGGTCCCAAACACACAGGCAAGAGATCATCCAGGATCTTGGGGCAATGGTGGGTGAATTGCTGGATGATTTCCACCAGGCAGTTGGAAAACTGCCAAAGAGAATCATTTTCTTCCGGGACGGTGTAAGCGAGACGCAGTTCTACAAAGTGCTTCAAGAAGAGTTGCAAGCCATTAAAGGGGCTTGTTCTAGATTTCCTGACTACAAACCTCCCATAACTTTTGCAGTAGTTCAGAAGAGGCACCACACAAGATTGTTTCCCTTCAAGATTGACCCATCTTTCGCGCAGAACCAATTTCCTGATGAAAATATTCTCCCAGGGACTGTTGTGGATACAGTGATCACTCATCCAAGAGAATTTGACTTTTATCTCTGTAGCCATTGGGGTGTGAAAGGAACAAGCCGACCAACACATTACCATGTATTATGGGACGAAAGCCAGTTCACTTCAGATGAATTACAGAAGCTGGTTTACAATCTTTGTTACACCTACGTGAGGTGCACAAAACCGGTTTCTTTGGTTCCCCCGGCTTACTATGCTCACCTGGCTGCATATAGAGGCAGGCTTTACCTCGAGCGATCGGAGTCGTCATCTTACAACCGAAGTACCCACTCACTGTCCCGAGCTGCACCTCCAAATACAACGCCTCTACCGAAACTCAGTGAGAATGTTAAGAAGCTCATGTTTTACTGCTAAATTTTAGCTTACAAACTCTTTGGAAATCAAAGAATTTGTTCTTTTAATGCTTATGTCATATATATATGCCAGGAATACCATGTCGATGCAGCTCAATATGACACAATTTACACGATAGCTTAAGCTAGTTCTTCTCAATTGTGATCAAGCCAGCAAATTCTAATGCAACTATTGTTAAAACTCCTCAAATTTAACAAGGGAATTACAGTAATTCCCTTGCCAAGCTTAGAAAGTCACTTTGATGACAACACATAATTACCATTGTTTGTACATGATTACATTCCTTTTCATTGACATGGGGTTTGGCTGGCCATAGCTCAAGTGGCTGCTTGTCCTCACTTATGTGTCCATGCATCAAATGGCAAAATGTGAACACGCATACACAGCAAAATGAAAAATTTGAAAGTGAACCAACAGTACGTAGTGCTCGAAAATGGATTGGGGTCTAGATAGCCAAACTAGATTCTCACTGTATTTGATCACATAGAAATAGCACCTGAGGACCCCAAGTACCCAAGCGCCCAGCCAAGGTGAAAAAGATGAAAGCAGTGCTGATAAAGGGGGCCAAAAAAAAAAAAAAAAAAAAAAAATTCATCCAATGCTTAGTTGAGTTAGTTTCTCTCTCATTTTCCCACTGAAAAAAAAGGGGTAAAATTTTTACAGTGAAGTACATAACTAAAATTTTCGGTAGGTTTATGTTTCGAAGAGTATATATGTATCATATTCGGTCATTTTATATACTCTTCATTTGAACGTAATTTTGATCCGTGTAACAATAAGATACATGCGATTAGCAAAAAAAACAAAAACAATTAAGATACATGCACCAATACGTATTAAATAATTGCAATGTGTGTGTTTACTTTTACAGGGGCAGTGTTTCTGATAAAAAAGCTAATAGCTACCTTTCACTGTCGTCAGTGTTTAATATCTCTTTTATTATCCGCAAACGAATTACCATGCATGCAACAGCATGGACAAAAAGAAAGCCAACTATTTATATAAATTTATATATTTATTAAAAATGGGATCCACCATCACAAGGAAAAGGAAATAGGACACTAACACAGACGTCACTGAAACACTGCCGGGTTCAGTGAGCAGCCCCGTAATTGAACCAAAAGAATTTGTACAGTTGTATTGTACAAGCAGAGCCAGTGGGGAGACGGGTAAAAAAGAACAACAAAGGAAGAGCCAAGAAAAGATGGGATTTGGAGTAAAAGCTACTCAACTCTGACTGCCAACTTTCCCTTTTGTCTCTCTCATCTCTCTCTCTCTCTCTCTCTCTCTCTCCTTATATACCAACAGGCTTTCTTTTGCCATCCACTAAGTATCTCACTATTTGCTTTGGGAGAAATCTCTCTCTCTCTCTCTCTCTCGGTGTTTTGAGTGAGTCAGAGAGGCTTTTAAGCACTTCACGGTCATGGCCATGGGAAGGGACAGAGAGACTGGGGGAAGCAAACGTGCGTTTTGGCAGGCAAAGGTGGTTGGGGGCCCAAGTTCTGGTTCTACCCCCCACATTGCACCCAGCTGTGCCTGCTTACACCTAGTTCACTATAATATGAAAAAATATCAAATATCAAATGGTAACACTCAACTTTGAATGACAAGTAAATAGAATTCAATAAAAAAAATTAGATCATGCCATAGGTTAATTTTTTCATACTCTTAAACAAAATAACACTCCTTATTTTAATTCTAATATTGCAGTTTGAGAACGTAAGTTGGCATCCAATTCATGTTACTATTAGAACTCCTCTTCGGGTCTTTCTATAATGCGTGCACGGACAAGTTCATCGTAATTTTTATATCATAATTTGTACCGGTCAAATGTTTAAAGTTCGCAAGTTTTAACATAAAATGCACAATTAACATATTCCCGGCAGAATGCTGAAAATTTTTCTCCCAGCACCACTCTTCTTGGTAAATATCCAGCCATAGACTTATCTTAAAGTCCTTTACCCCAGAAGTGACAAAGGCAAAAAGAAGGAAAAAAAAAAAAAATCCTTTTTAAGCAAACGGTCAAGCATTGAAGAGAAACAGTAAATGCTTATTCATTAAGAAAGAAAAAAATTAACAGTGGAATAGTGAATGCTACTTCTGGAGTGGTAGAAACAAAAGGTAAAGAACAACAATAAATAACACTTGGGAGTTGAATTTTGACAGAACAAACACCCAATGTCCTTCAACCAAAGATGTTTGACATAGAACTGTAAACATTGAAACTACCCACATTAATGAAAGAAAAACATCCCTATTGCCATGAAGCATCACCATCGCCATTAAATTACCAACAGCAAATAAGCAAACCTACACGAAGCACAACTATCAAGGAAACAACAAGGATCAGTTACATTTACATGTGAGATCATAAAATTGGAAATTCTTTGGTGAAAAACGCTACTTTTCCTAAATTGTTGTTTTTAATTGTTGAATCAAGTTTTTAACAGTTATACTTGAGGATATTCGCATTAAAAATTTACGGCACTTAGGTTGGATTTGGTATTGCTTTTCGCTTTCAAAACTAGTTTATGCTTGTAGCAAAAGTTAATTTTAGTGTTTAGTAAATCTCTTCAAAAGTATTTTTTGAAGAATTTTTGAAGAATATGCAGCCAAAATAAAAAACAATCTAAAAATAACTTTAACTTTTAGATTATGCGGGAATCAACATAGTACAATTAGTGAAACTTTCATAATACTTATAATACCCTAATAAAATTTATAATTTATAATCTTTTAAATCTAAAATTCAAACTCATAATATAATATAATAATACAATAAAATAAAATAATGTAATAATAATATTGTAATAAATAATATCATAATTATATTAATAACTATAATATTATTATTTTGTCATATAATATGATATTATAATAAGATTATAATTTATTTTAAGAATATTATATTATAATTATTATTTTATAATATTATTATTTTGTCATATAATATGATATTATAATAAGATTATAATTTATTTTAAGAATATTATATTATAATTATTATTTTATAATATTATTATTTTGTCATATAATATGATATTATAATAAGATTATAATTTATTTTAAGAATATTATATTATAATTATTATTTTATAATATTATTATTTGTTATGGGGTATTACACACGTTATGGTTATATAATATATTATATAATAATAGTTTTTTATTATATTAAATATAATAATAAATATATATTATATTGTAATTATATATATATATATTATATTATAGTATAATATAATATAGTCGTAATTTTTAACCATCTACAGCAATCCACAACAATTCAACCTCGTAATTTATCAAACGTTATTATACTGATTTTAGAACCAGCACAGTTACTATAATTATAGTTTACCAAACACTTAGGCTTAGTTTGGTATTGCTTTTTCCTCCCAAAATCAGCTTCTACTTGTAGCAGAAGCTGATTTTAGTGTTTGATAAATCTTCTCAAAGTACTTTTTGAAGAATTTTTTAAGAATCTACAGCCAAAATCAAAAGCAGTCTAAAGACAACTTTAGCTTTTAGATTATACGGGAATCAACATAGTACAATTAATGAAACTTTAATAATACCCATAATATCCCTAATAAAATTTACAATTTACAATTTTCTCAATCTAAAATTCAGACTTGTAATATAATATAATATAATATTATAACAAATAATATCATAATTATATTTATGACTCTAATATTATTATTTTATCATATAATATGATATTATAATTATTTAATAATATTACAATAATATTATTACATTATATTATATTGATATAATTATATTTATTATATGAATAATAATATAATAATTATAATTAAATATTAATATAATCTTATAATTCTAATATTATTATATATTATAGTGTATTATACATGGTTATATAATATATTTGTTTAATATGATATAATAATGATTATATAATATAATATATTATATTATAATATAGTATAGTTGTAATTTTTAATTATATTATAACTAAAATATTAATATTTCTTATGTAATATTATAATATGTTTTTATAATATTGTAATTATATTAACCATTTTAATAAATTATTATATTATATACTATAATTATATAATAATAGTTTTTTATTAGATTAAATATAATAATAAATATATATTATATTGTAATTATATATATTATATTATAGTATAATATAATATTATCGTAGTTTTTAACTATCTACAGCAATTTAACCTCATAATTTACCAAATACTATTACACTGATTTTAGAACTAGTACAGCTACTATAATTATAGTTTACCAAACACTCAGCTATTTTTTATAACAACTGTTTCTTCTTTCAGCACAACTAAAAGTAATTTTTTTAAAATCTATAGCACTACCAAACTAAGCCTTAGTTGTTTTTTATAATAGTTGTTTTTCTTTTAATACAGTTAAAAGTAATTTTTTCAAAATTTACAACAATACTAGACTTAGGGCCCGTTTAATTCGCTGATTCGAGTTGAGATGTGACTTTATGTGATAGTTTTTTACTGTAGTAAAAACGTTAGATGTGACTATTTCTGAAAACTTTTTATTAGAACAAAACTTAAATTTTAAACTCGAATCGGTAATATGAACGAGACCTAAACCTTAATATGAAACTATTTATACTCTAAGGGCCTGTTCGGTTCGTTAATTCGAATTTTTAATTCGAGTTGAGATGTGATGTTGTATGAGAGTTTTTTACTGTAGTAAAAAAGTTAGATGTAACTGTTTCTGAGAGCTTTTTACTATAGTAAAACTTAAATTATAAACTCAAATTAAAAAAAAAAGGAACCTAAATCAATTTATTAAAAAATTAATTTAATAATTAAAATATAATTCCTACCGAGAGAACAAAATAATTTTTTCTACCGTAAATGCACCTATAAAATTATAGGAAAACCGACTTGATTCCTTTTTTCGGTGATGAGACTACAACCTCCTGATTACACAAAACCCCAAGCATTTAAGAAACGGCATGTCGTACGAGACAATGACTTTTTTTGTTTTTTTGTTTACAGGTTTATATGTGGTCCCATCAGTCCAATCCTAATCCCCAATGTAATGTCAAACTATAGGTGTCAGTCTTTTTTTTTTTTTTTTCCTTCCTTCTTCAGGGGATGCTTTTCTTTTCCTTTCAGACTGATTTCTTTCTTACACATATGTAGTCGTGCCTATGTTTTATATCAAACGGGGTAGAATTGTTCTCATTTGATCTTACGGTTTCACTAAATCAGGACCACCCAAATTGAATCAATTTGATGGATTTTTTGTAGTATATTTATTGTAGAGAATGTTATTTTATTCCATTAAAAACAATTATATTTTAATTTTGAATTAATTTTTTAATAATTTAATTTGATAGATATAATTCTGTATCACGTTGTAAAGTTTTAAAGCCACGAATTTAACAGTTCAAAATAATAGTTCAAAATAGCATTTCTACATAGTAAAGATTCTCTTTTTTTTTTTTTTTTAAAAAAAACGTCCGTTTGTCTAATGTCCCATCAATCATTTCTACATAGATGAGGTGACCAAAAGCATCTCCGTTTATTTTGTTGGACCACTGAATGATTCCAGCTGGTATGTTTATGTGAGCTTAGAGCTCAGCACGAAGGAAAAGATCTTTTGTCTTTTTTTTTTTGTTTTTTTTTTTTTTGCCAAGGTAAAAAAAAAAAAGTTGCCTGAAAGGTGACGTGCAATTTGAAGAATTGATTTTCTTTTTCATGCGCGTCTCATGTGACATTCAGAACCATTTAACGAAAACTTATGCCCTGGATTCGAGGAGAACATGTTTGATAGACATGTAAGATCTGATAAAAATATATATATATATATATATATGATTGAAACAGCATAATTGCTTAGAGCATATAACTCCAGGAAAAGTTGCCTCATTTCATATGAAGCCCGGAGTTTCTATTCTTAAGAGTACCATTTTTTTTTTTAATAAACAAACAGAAACAAAAAAACACACACAACTCACTAAGAAACAGTCATACCCTTGTCATTCTTCTTTTTTTTTTTTTTTTGGCTGTTAGAAGTATTAGAACGGTGGTGACTGGTGATCACACCGTCCTCAAGTGTATTATAAGTATTAGAGAAAATTGTTAAACTTACGGTTAAAGTGCATCTCTTAATTAATACCCTTTTAATTAATATAGTTATTCGATTAAAATGAAAGGGATGGACATAAAAAAAAAAAAGAATCAGTGTTTATTAGGAGTCGGTTCTTTGTAAGAATTAGGAATTCCTCTTCCAACTTGTCCCGGAATGGGCGTTATGGCAAAGAACAAGAAGAAAACAAAAGGAGAAATTTGTCCAATAGTAACATCTATCTGCACGAAGCCGACCCTATGGATAGAAAGAAAAAATGCAAGAAAGGAAAATGATTAAGAGTAAAGATGAAAAATCCAAAACCATAGGACCATTTGTCTCCATTTCCTAAGTATTGTGATCATCGCCAAATATACTTGTGATGGATCTCAATTTTGAAAGAGAAGTGATTGGATATGGAATTCGGGCCCAGCAAATTAATGGGTCCTACCAGAACCCAGATACTGTTAAGACTCTTAACATGGGCCTTGTAAGGGCCGGATTCTCCTTGGGCCTGGGATGCCGATCCTCTTCAGCTAAATTCCGGGTTTACCTTACTCCTGTTATGGTAGCTACCATGGTTGTTCTTATTTCTGTTTTTGTTGTTTCTGTTTTGGCAATTGATTACCATGGATTAAGAAACTCTATAACTTTCAATATGCTGGTTTGGTTTTCTACTGAGTCTTACAAGCAATTGGAGCTTGGAAACTAAAAACTTGCTCTCAGACTCGAATGCAAACTCTTAACCACAATAATCTACTTTGTCATATTTTGGATTGAGATTGAAGAAACAGACAAGATTTATGTGTAAAACGGACAATATCATATTCTTCTTCGCTTTATGTCATGCAGAAGTAGCATTAACCTTAAAAAATTCACTCTGGTAAAGGTTTCTCTGCTGGAAGTTGGAGCAACTCCCGAATCCCTTCGCAAACCTGCAAAGAACAGCAGGATAAACTGTTGTCAGCCCCAAAGTAGAGAGTAACGGCAAAAATTCAGAGCGCACAAGTTATTTAAATTGTTAAAGCATATCAAAATCAGAAATAAGACTAAAAGAAGTTGGATCTGTTTACTACATAGCTTAATTGTGCGTCTGTTTTTTTTCCTATGAAACAAATGATATCAAGAATCATTACATGACTTGTAGACACAAATAGTAAGCTTAAGCAGTCTTCTGCTTTTACAACAGATATAAGCGGAAAAACAGCACAATAACGATGACGATGATCAAGGAACGTACCAGCTTGATCTGGGCCTTGATTGATGCAATAAGACGAGTATACTCTTCAATTTGCCTGCAAAAAGTAATTGAAGGTATTGAGTTGGACGAACTCATACAAATTTCAAACAAAAAGAAACTCGAGCCTTGGATGAGTTCACAGATAAATACAAGACTCTAAATTTTGTTCTACATTGGATTTTTAACCGTTCACCAATCTACAACAGAAACTTCCAACATGATAGCATCCAGCTTCAAAAAATAAAAATAAAAAATTCCTACCTGGATAGTTTCTCCTCCCTTTGAGATATGAAATTTATAGCTTCTGACCATGTGAACTCCACATGAAATCCTAGTCCAATATCCACGAATATGCGTTTTGTATCTGGGCTGTGAGCAAGCAAAACATAAAGGACCACAGTTATTAGCAACCTTAGTTTGAATTGGGCGCTCTTTGGGCCAATTTTCATCAAACTATAACATGCCAACATGTGGTGATACCCGAAATTCAAACACGCAATCATGGATTATTAAACATACAGAATGAAATACCAGAAAAGAAAGAAATACTCAAGACTTACACATCAGCTTGCATGTACACTTCAGAGCCAAGATTAACCAGTGTTCTAAGACTGGTAACACTATTCTTCTCCAAGTTCTCTATGTTCCTTCGTAAATCTGAGCTTTGAAGCCATAGAGTCAAGAAAATCATGAATTCTCTCGTAGCAAGGTTTAGATAAAACAAACAAGGAAACAACTTGCATACTTCAGAAGTTGTAAATACAAGAAAAAGTGAAAAAGGATACAAAGTTTTTTGCTGTTCAAAAACCTTGTCCCTGCAAAAGAAGAACCATAAAGGCAATGAAAAAGCGTTGAAGAACATTATCTTTAGTTCTTAGAAACATATTGACAAGAACCATTCAACCATTTTTTGTGTTACAGAACAGCTTAATTAGACATCATATTTCTTGATTTACAATTTTGATGCAACAATAATAACTAAAAGCAAAATATGTAGAAAGCCCAACATATGGAACTCGAGCTAATGCTTTTATTGCTACTAAAACTTCCATAATTGTCATAAGAAAGAATTACCCCTTAAAGAAAATATCAATATAAAATGTGGGATTTTAAGAAAAGCCAATAATTTTATGTGGGACTACGTGAAAAGTCATACCGTTCAGCTATAGCACGAATGAGGTCAGGTTTCAATCGGCGGTCGACGAATTCCTCAAATTTCTGAATTTTTTCCTGGCGATAGCTATCCATTTCAGTCCTAACGTAAAATGGATCCAAATTAGAGTCCCTGATCAAGCAGCGCACTGAAAACACGCACGTAAATACAAAGAAAAGTGGAGCGTGTTCTTTCAGGCAATATATCAAACAGATGGAGTGCGAAATTCGATTTCCCCAGTATAAGGTACTTTTCACGGAATAAAAATATCCCAGAAGTGTGATTAAAGCAAGAAATGAAAATCTCAACTCAATGATTCAAATGGTTTTCAGCGTCAGATTTGGATTTTGAAATATTATGAGAGTGTATAGCTCAACTCGTCAAGGCGTTTCGGCTTGTATCCTCACCAGTTTCTTATGTTGAAAGTTCTGAGAAATGGTTTTTTTTTTTTTTTTTTTTTTTTTGGCTTGAATCCCTGTGATGAGTGGAGTTGAGAGAAAAAAAAAATTTTTGTTTGGTCCGTCTGAGTGAAAAAGGTTGAAAAGAGTTCAAAGCCGGCGTTTCTCTACAACCTGCGTCTCGTCTCAATTCTGTTATCTTTTCTTTTGGAAAGCTTACACCCACCGCTAACTTTTTGCCAATATTGTCGTAGAAAACACAAAAATACATTAAAATTTTAAATAGTCTTTTAAGTTTACCTTTAATTTTACTCTGCTTTCTAACTCTTAAAAAGTCTTACCATTTAATTCTTGAGATTTTATTCTCTTACAATTTTAATTATTCTCTTAAATAAATATTAAATATTTAATATAATTTGTGTATTAACGATTAATGACACGTTTAGTTTATAGATTAGAATCATGTGATTAGAATTATTTTTTATTTATGTGTATTTTTTATGAGAGAAAATATTGTAGCGAATCACGAATTATGATTCGAATCAGAAAACGAATCTAGATACCAAACATCCTCTAAATGTTACCAACAACTAAAAATCAAAAGAAAAAATAAAAGAGTAAATCACACTGAAAAAATTAAAATATTATTTATTTTATTAATTTAAATTTTAAATTTTTATAGTTAAAAATTTTTAAAAAGTATCATAAATTTTTTTATTTTAACTAAAAATTTTTAAAAAATATTAATATCTCAACTCGAATTCGTATAACGAGCGAGAGAGTGAGAAAAGAAAAAGAATAATTATTGATTTACCTTGAAATACTCACTCAAATCTCACAAGCTCTCAAAAAGATTATGGCCGGAAAATGCCATATCACTCTCAGACTCGAGAATTTTCAGAACCCCTCTTCGTCTTCTTCTTCTCCTTATAGGGCTTCTTTCCCTCGAGAAAACTGCCAATCATGGGTGTAACTGCTCTCCCCGTGTCCATCATGTCCATACTTCTTGCTTCCTTCACGACGTGGCTCATCGATCCTCCTCGGACATAACTTTTGCTTCCCTTGATGACAATCCGCATCTCATAGGATTACTGACACGGTAATTCTCTTATTTCCCATGTGAGAAAAGATGGATAGAGAATTGGGCTTTCATTGGATGCTTCAGTCCTTAGGTACCCGGCCGAGAAGATAGGGTTTGAGGTGTTGGGCCAGCTGTAGTACCAAGTGTGAACTGTGAAAACTATTTTGAGGTTCCACTTTCATATTGGAACCCCAAGAAGCTATACGCTAGTTTAAAGGCATGAGTGAGCTCATTTTGTTGATTTAATTTTTTAATTTAAATTGAGATGTAATTTTTTATAAAAAAAATTTATTATAATAAAAAAATTAAATAAGACTATTTTTAAATTATAATAAAACTCGAATAAGTGAAACAAATGAGACCATAATGTGTGGTTTTTAAGTTATTATATAGGAGTAGTTTTTCGTAAAAAAACTGTTGAAGGTTCAAAACTTTTTATGCTCAATTGTCATCTCTTTTATAGTTGTTTAAAAATTATCATGTCAATTAATTATTAAAGATTACATTAGTCAGTGAAAAAAATATAAATCAAATTTGGTACAAAAAGTTGTAACTATTATTCATAAAAATTTGTGTTGCTATGCGATTACTCATCTATGAGAAATTTCATAAGTCAATATTCATATTGTCTATTTCCACCATTTTATTTTTCCTTTTTTTAAATTGTGAACAATGGTAGAAACTAAGGTCCCGTTTATTTCGCCGATTCGAGTTTAAATTTTGAGTTTTGTTACCGTAAAAAATTCTAAAAAATAGTCATATTTAACTTTTTTACTACAGTAAAAAATTCTTATATAAAGTCATATCTCAACATAAATTAAAAATTCGAATAAATGAAGTAAGATGATCCGACCTGAAGACTCACTATAGGCTTGGTCACGACGGACTGTACCGGGTAGGGCCATCCCGAATTACTTTTAATTAAAAAAAAATCCTCTAATAAAGGTCAGGCTAGTTGAAATTTCCCATTTGGGCTGTCGCATTGGTCGGGCTCTAGAAATTAGGAGGACGTTTGGTTAGAATATTCAAACTATGATTTGAATCATAATTAATGGTTCACTACAGTATTTTCACATAAATTAAAAATTATTATAATCACATGATTTTAATCCATGAACTAAACGTCTCTGAAAACTTGATTTTCACCTTTATAATAAAGACGGTTGTTTTAGCCATTGTATTCATATTTGAACGGTCTGGTACGTGCGTATTCACGTTAAAAATTTACAACACACTGACATAAAATTGCTTTCAATGATAGATCATACCGGAAAAAATAAGACAACGACCCACCCAAAAAAAATAAATAAAAATAAAAATAAAAATCCTACCGTTAGAGAAGGGAAAAGGACAGGTCACAGGTGGTATCCTAAAGATTCTATTTTTTAAAACAAACACCGTAAACGTACTAGCCCGCCCCTTTTTTAAGCACTTCGCCACATCCTATTTGTTGATCTGTTCTCTCTCGGCCATCAACTTCTGCTGCCCGTCGCTGAACTTCTCCGTTTGGCGACTGTCAATTTCGATTCAAGGTTTCATTTCTTTTTTCTTTCGGTAAGCAATATTATATACAAACACACAAATTCAGAAAACACATGTATTTTATCTGTTACCGATAATTTGCGTTTGCACGTAAGAAACGGAAGGTTTCTCGAAAGTGAAAGCAGAAATATGTAGCCTTATTACACATCGAGAAGAAATTTTTCACAAAATTCTTGACTTTCTTGTCTCATAATTATTGAATATCCTCCTCCAAAAAAAAAAAATATTTATTATCTCATGTACTTGGTGCGGCTACGTCTAGAACTTGTTTTGATCTCAAATATTGATAATCCCATGTACTTGTTTTTTCTTTTCTTTTCTTTTTTTCTTTTTATTTTTTATTTTTGTGGGTCATACACAAGTAACACAACAATTTGAGGACTGCACAACAGAATATAACGAGCGACCTCTTTTATGAACAAATTTGATATTGGACTCGGTTAAGGCTGAGGTTTATTTGTTTGTTTTTTTTTTTTTGTATTTATTTATTTAAAAGGTTTGAGATAATGTGAACAATTTTTATTTCAGTGCCAAAGGAGTTAATTTTGTCACTGGTTTTGAATCTGCAGAAAAATGAAGAGAATTTTCTACATACCAGAAGAACTAGTGGAGGAAATCCTGGTGAGGTTGCCACCAAAATCTCTAATGAGATTTAAATGCGTTTGTAAGTCTTGGTACGCTCTGATCACTGACCCGTCATTTGCTAACAAACACCTTCGCTTTGGTATCGACAACAGCAAGAAATCGTCCTCTGTATCCTTATTCTTGAGTTGGACTCGCCAGGAACTGTCATTGGACCATATCTTCAATCACCGTTTCTACGGTGATCTTGATAAAGTATTCTCACTGGTCTCTGTCTGCGATGAGGATGATAGTAATAACAGCCACCTTCCTTGTGTTGTTCAAGAAATTAATTTACCACCTACTTTGAAACATGATACTGATAGTTTCATAAACTCTCATTGTAATGGAATCATTTGCTGGTTCAATAGAAGTGGCTTTTGTGGAGAGATTTTTTTGTGCAATCCATCACTCAACGAATTCAAGCTTCTTCACACGCCGAGCCTTCTCCCTGAATTCTGGCCTTCAGGATTTGGATTTGGGTATGATGCCAGAGCTAATGATTACAAGTTTGTTAAGCTTTTTCGATCCGCGTATAATCCGATTGCAAGTAGGGCTTTGGTATATACTCTGGGAATTGATTCTTGGAAGGAGATTAAGATGGATCTAAAAGGTAAGTTCTGTTTGGCTGATGCCAAGGGGGTGTACTGTAGAGGCGTTTATTATTGGGTTAACAAGGCTGTACCGGGTAGGGAGGATATGATTCTTTCTTTTGATATGTCTGATGAGGTATTTCATACCATAGCATTACCAGATTGCATAAAAAGGGTAGATGGGCAATCACCAAAGAGACTTGCGCTGTGGAATGAATCACTGGTCCTCTTTTTCACCCCGGCAAACTCATGGTTTTCAACATCTTTTGAAATGTGGGTTATGGCTGACAACGTTGGTGGTGTTGAAGGTGTTACTTGGACAAAACACCTTACGATCAGGCCACAAAGGTTCATTCATTTGTATTCCACATTGACGTTTTGGAAGGATGATGAGATTTTATTCGAAACTAGAGATGGACGTCTTGTATCGTATAACCTGTATAGCCAAAAGCTTAGGAAACTTCCCATTCATGGAGCGGTGTTGCCAGGAAGGACTTCTGCTCATTTATATCTGAAGAGTTTGGTCTCAGTCAGAGGAGGAACACATGCAAAACAGCCGCAAAACTAGTAAGTTTGCTGCAATTTATGAACTTTGCCAAAATTATGTTGTGACTTACATTTATGAAAGATGCATCCTTGGATGCAGTAGGATTGAAAATTGTATAAAATGATGGTTAATTCCTCTGTTACTCTGTGAAGATTGCAGTCTCTCCAATCAAGAAAAAAAAAATCAAGTAAACTGTAAATTTGTACTTTTATATTGCTTCGTCGGTCATGCTTTCTTATAATTGATGTGGCGCATTGATCTCTCCCTTAGAGCAAGAATCGAGCCTTATTTATATTTTTACACTACAGTAATATATATGTCTTACCACTTTCAAGTGACAAGCGAGCAGAAGAAAAACTACTTTTGAGTTTCCAATATCATGTCGAAACTTGAGAAGCTATACGCTAGTTTAAAGCGATAACTGAGCTCTCTCTCTCTCTCTCTCTCTCTCTCTCTCTCTCTCTCTCTCTCTCTCTCTGTTTATGAAGATACAAGCAGTTGTTTTTCATTTACTATATGGTAGTATTTGGAAAGAGCCTATGCTCAAAAGCACTAGTAATGGTAAAAACAAGACCCATCTTGCAGCCATTTGACATTGTCATATATGATATCATGAAGTTTACTAACAATAGTGTTGAAAACCAGGGGAATGGACAGGAATGCTATAAAGTCGAAGAGCGTGGTTTGGAAAACATACTTTTTGCTAGAACGTGGTGTGAAATAGACTTCTAATGGCAACTTCCCTGTTAAAAAGTTTAGAGAACTGAGTTCTATACTTGTGTTATTCTGTAGGGTACTTTTCATTTGCTCTTTCTTGAACATGTGCATCTTCCAAAACTTTATTTTGGGGTTGTGTAGTTTGGAGAAAGCTTCTTCTAAAAATAGTTTGTTTAAACACTATACTTTCTATCGATGGATCAAAAATTTGTTGGCTGCCAATGAGATGGATAATTTCCTTTTGGGGACCCATCTTTCCAATTAATCAAAATCAAACATGATTTCTTTCGTATGATTAACAATTTACATGGTTCCAACTTCAAGTGTTTCAAATGTGCAAACTGAAAAAGAACAGCATGAAAACTAATGTACTCAAGTAACCCACGACCAACACTATGTCACAAAGAAATCATACAGAACAACATGACAACTTGTGAAGAAGGAGCCCTTTGAGGGCAATGTGGTATTATAGATATCAAATTCTTTTACCCTGTTACTCTTCAATAAATTTACTTACTAAATCATTAAAGTGCTGATATGGGAAGGTAACTTTTCAAGGCCTGACAAAATTTACCAACACAAAACAGTCTTTTGGTCCAACAAGAATTATGCCAAGGCGGAAGTTAAACAAATAAAGTTGGTACAAGGAAAAGTAATTGCATTTATCATTTTCATTTAAATTCGATTTGCGGTGTAGAAGAAAGAATCGGATTGGAACTATTAGTTCGATGTTTTTCCTGAAAAGGGAAACAACCACTTTCCCGCCTCTATATTGACATTATAACAAACGTTTCACATACCTTTCTGTAATTCCTCATATCAGAGTAAGAACCAATACACACTCCAAATCTCCAATGAAGCATCAAAGCTTTTTAGTATTCCACAAAGGGTGGGTTTGGTATTGATTTTAGGAGAGAAAAAGTACTTTTTCACACATCTAAAATCTAAAAAGTTATTTGGTAAAACAGATTGTTGAATAATTTTCTTCCAATCTGAAGTTAAAATCAGAATCAGCCTCAAGGCTGATTCTGATGTTAGATTATGCGGGAATTTATTTTGTGGTTTTAATGAAATTTTCTATTTCCAATTTTACCCTCAATGAAAGTTAAAATTTACCACATCAAACTTCATTTTCATTATCTCCCCCGACACTCCTCCGCTCACCTCCTCCGGAATCACTCTCGTCCCCTGCAAAAAAAAATTCTTGTGCGTTCTATCCTCTCCCCTCTTCTCCGTTTGAGGTTTGGTCTCTCTCTCCGTTCGCCGGTCTCTCTCCATTCGCCAGTCGGAGCTCGGTTGGTTTCTCCTCCGGGTGATTTTCCGTTTGCAGATCGCCCATCTCCTCCGACGACGACTGCCCGTCTATCATCATCAAATCAAGAGGTAAGCCTCTCTAACCGTGCGAAATTTTTTGGTTTGAACATTTGGATTTCGTTTTGATTGTTATTCCGCCTGTATTTTGGGTTTTAGGGTTTTGATTTTTTGCAATCAAAGAAAACGATCGGGTCTGATTTTAGATTGGGTTTTAGTGTGATTTCTCCTCCGATTTTTAGATTGGGTCTGATTTGTACGGAAATGGGTTTACGGTTTTGATTTTCTATAAATTTGGACATTGTTGAATCATCATCCAACGGGAATTGAAATGGGCCACTAACAGAAACAGCATCAACGGGAAAAAAAAAATTAAGTTTATGCTTGTTTTAGCACAAATACTTGCACATTGTTGAAAGTTCCTCTGTGTGCTCGGGAATTGATTGTTTTAGCACTCATATGTTAAGTTAAAGCATTTTGTATAAAGCTTGGCTGATGCATATGCTTGAATTGAGTAATGTATTTCTAAATTGGGTCTGATGCATATACTTGCACATTGCTAATGCATATGCTTTCTGTGTAATGTACATTTTGTACTCATTGTTCTCGTTTGTTGTTGTTTGCTCTTGTTGTTCGTTCCACATATGTGACATTACCCTCCTATGTCGTTTGTTGTCCATATGTGACATTAGCACTCATATGTCGTTTGTTGTTGTTTGCTGTCGTTTGTTGACATGGAATGCATCCAAAGTTGTGTTTCTAGATGCATTCGATGTATCTCTCATTGTAACACAAGGAATATAGTCTGCATGGTTTTCATACTTCAGATCCTTTTTCTTTATCTAGATACTTGTTTAATTCTTTTCTGCTTTTGTTTTTCTCCGCTACTTGCTAAATGGAAAAGAGAATTCCAATTTATATAAGTTATTGTGGGAAGGGAATGTTCAAAGGAAAGGAGTTTCTCGTTGTCAAACGAATCACTTTTAAAAGCATATAATTATTACCTTCAATCGTCAATTTCTTCATATTCTTTTCCCACTTATTTGTATTAACACTGCCAGGTTCTCCGGAGCAATTGATGCTCTCGTTTCCTTTCTTTTTTAACGTTAAATTAATCTTGTTTACCTTGAATTTCCTTGTAATTAGGCTCAAATTATATGTCTTAACTCAACATTGGTATCTATTGAGCTTTCAATTTTGTTCAGTTCATACTTTTGTTTTGTATTGTAAGAGAGTTTTATGACAGGGTATATATGAAAAAAAAAAAACTCTATTATTAGGATAATTATAAGGAAGCGTCAGATTTTCATCAAATTATCTCATAAGAATTAAGAGAAAGTGATCATTAGGCACAATTGTTGTAAATCGAATTAGCATTCTATTCTTGATTAGCAATTTTTAGGTGAAGTATCTAGGAGTAGAAGCTATGATTAGCTTGGCTATTGAGTGAGTGTTTGAATTGGAAATAAGGTTAGTATTACCCTTATTATTGTTTTTGTAAATAAAAGCATGAAGCCTCACATTGTTTTAGACTTTCAGTTATCAATTCTCAAATGGAGGGTAGTATACCACAAGGTAAAGCAATATGGGACCCCGAGACTGTGGAT